GAGATAAGAGTTTCCTGGCCTTTCTTGCCTGGGCTGGCTTTTAACCACGATACTCAGATCTCAGCCTCCTGAATAACTAGGATTACAGGCATGAGCCACCAGCATCCAACAAGCCATTTCTTTGAAGCAGCTGCCATCTTTCTTTCCTACTTTGACCAGACTGGGGAAAGATTTCTCATGATCTGCTTTGAAATGTCTCCCATTTTTGACAGATTACCTTTCACAAGCCCAGAAAAGAGAGCAATCCCTCCTGTGATGCTCTGGGTCACGCTTGCCCTGGCATGTGCAGACAGTGGGTTTCACAGGAACAAGCAAGTGTGGCAGCATAGATGTCCTCGCACTAGCCATTTGTCCAGGACTGGACAGTGTGGGTTTTGTAAACTATTCCCACATGTCCTAAATAAATGAACAACCTACCAGGCCACAGGCATGTAACCCAGCTTCATTGTCTGTAGAAGGGATGTGCCAGGCTTCCTGTTCATAACAAGATGCCTGGTACCAGCTTTATGACTTGTGTGTGCACAGGTACCAGGGCTTGAACTCGGGACCAGCTTACTGACCTTTTTCCACTCAAGCCTGGAGCTATCACTTGAGTCACACCTCCTCTTCTGGCTTTTTGGAGGTTAATTGGAAATTAGAGTCTCTCAATCAGACTGGCTTGGAACCATGAATCTCAGATCTCAGACTCCTAACCAGCTAGAATTAGAGGTGTGAGCCACCCGTGCCTATGTGACTTGGAGTAAGTCCCTCTGTTTCCTTATCTGAAAGTGAAAGGGGGAGAGGAAGAAGGAGTGGACTTTGCCAGCAAATCTGCCCGCTCTAAATTTCTGCCTGCTCTAAATTTAACAGGTCTGCTCTAAGTAAGGTAAATACCCTTCATCTCTGCAAGTATGTGGATGGGGCTACCATTGTGTGCGGGGCACAGAGCCTTTTGTCTAGCAGGGAAGCCATCCCCCCCCACCCCTCCACCCCGGCCCAGAGTAGGACACCTTCTTAGAACAGGTACCTGCTGTGTAGATCTGGGGGAAGCACCAGCTCTAAGTCCTCAGCTGAGCACCCTCTCCCTTCCCCTCCCCTCCAGGGGAAGACACGTGGCGACTCTGCACACTTGCTGTTGATCCTGGAACACTGGATCTGGGAAGATCTCAGCCTTACAGCCGCAAACATGGAGTTGTGGCTCAGGAAGGGCTTTTTCTTTCTTTCTTTCTTTTTTTTAAAGAAAGTCTCCAGCTTCTCCCCTCCCGCCGGGGTGGGGCACAGGGTGGAAAGTTCCTGTGAGTGAAAAGCTGTGACCCTCACTGGAAGGAGGGGTGCCCTGGCACTTGAGCAAGCCTGTGGGCAGCCCCCTGAGCTAGACCGTCTTGGAAGCCGAGTCTGCGCCCCCGCAGAACTTCCTGCCCGATGTGGCCACAGCCTGTTCAGCCAAGCACCGGGGACGAGGGAACGAAGGAACGACTGGCGTCCCGTCCCCGGGAGCCTCACGGAGTTACAAGTAGGCCGTCTGTCCTCGGGGACAGACGTGAGAGCCAGAGCCCGCCCCGCCGCGCCAACAGGCGGCTGGAGCCATACGAAGCGCATTAACTATTAATAATTTCCAGTTGTTTGCTCGCTCCCCCAGGCCTCAGCAGCCCGGGACTCGGCTCGGGCTCCCTTGGACCGTCCCGGGTCTGGAGTTATATTAGCGCCTCCCGGGCACCGCGGGGACACTAAGAGGTCAAGCGCGCCCCCCCCCCCAGAGCCCGGGTGCGAGCAGGATCTTCACGCCCCCCCACTCAATCGGGGTGAGGGGCTGAAAGTAGGGCCAGG